TCCTTTAAGATTGACTGGTTTGACCTCCTAGCAGTCCAGGGGACTCTCAAGAGTCTTCTCTGAACAACTTAACACGTTCAGCAGCCGCGTTACCAAAAATATTCAAGGCTTTTAACATAAACCTTGAATGAGCTTCACATCCTCCAACGTCCCCATCGCTGTCACTGCAGAAATAGTATCATACAGCTTAGGTTTTTTTTCAAAAACTGTATAATATTTTACATACAAATTAGGTAGTTCTATTGTTATATTACTATTCAGTTTATATACAGCAACACAAACTGCTCAGATGTATTTTTTTTAAAGAAATGTCCATTGTAATAGTAAAAAAAAAAAACCTTAACAAACAAATAAATACTTGGGACGGCTAAAGAAAAATTCAGGTTGTCCACGTGGATTGTGAGGATTTAAAAATGGTCAGTGAGGCAGCTCCGTGCTGTGGTGGGCATGTCAGGATGAGCCCTAACAGCCCTTAAAAGGAGCTTTCACATGTGGGCTGCAGAAATTGAAAGTACCACTAGATGGCAGTGATAGAATAAAGAAAACGGCTGGCCTTTGGTGCCATCCAGTGGTCGTCTGAATGTTTGCAGCCCACAAACGCTGCATTCGCTTTTTAATTCCGGCCTTATGGACCTTTTAATCATAGGGCAGAAAGGGAACAGTGCCTCACGCATATAACAGGAGTTCACACAGTAGGCTAAACCAGAAACCCAGGTTATAGCATGCCATGCCTAAACCAAATTTTGATTATTATTTATTACACAGATTTAAAGAATGCCCAGCTTCAATCCACTCTGGTCGTTTTACAAGATGAAAAGCCAGAACAGTCAAATAACAAAATAGATTATATGCGTTCAGGAAAAAAAATCATAAGGAACAATGCAAAAATCTTAGAAGAGCTCACCCAGAGTCTGGGAGAATAGCCAGGATTTCAGCGCCTTTGGGGACATCATCATGGATGACGGGGATCTCTGGGAGGATGCTGTTCCGGAGGGCTGCCACAGAAGCAAAATATGCCGTATGATGGCTTAATTTAATGGCCCAGTTTAGAAAAAACACCCAGACAATGCTGGATTCCAGAAATAGGCTGATTCTCACAATATACCAGGTTAACGTAGCCTAAAATGTTGCACAAACCCAACTAGAGCATTGTATGTTTTCTTCTAACTCTCTTTCAAAGAGAAGAGGAGGAATTTAAGACTGGGGAACGGTTGATGGGATTAACTCAATCGTGGTTTTCTACTTTTGCAGTCAAATCCAGAATGGGGAGCCTTCCTGTCCACATAACCCAGGTTGTCCCCACTTGAACTGGTTCAATGGTCTCTTTGTGGTTGTGGGAAGAGGGCTGGACAGCCTTTGTTTGAAGAGAGCGAGTGGAGAGGATCCTTTTCTCATGGAATATATTTCTTTTACATGGTTCTTTGGCCTATGGCCAAGCAGGTGTTGCAGGCTTTTGAAATACAACAAAGGCCTTTTTTTTTGGCCTGGCG